ATTTCTTGATTCCTCAGATCTTGAAAAACAACAAATTACTTGTAACATAATAATTTGCAACTAGGATGTAACATTTGAGGATGTAACATTTCTAAAATAACAGAACAGATACAAAAAACTTATTTTGCAGTGTAATGAATCACATTTGTTACTCACTTTCAAAAGTTACAAATGAAGGCGAAATCAAGGTTCAAAATGACTGTCTTAAAGTAATTTTTTCTGGCTATGTGCCAAAGTTCCTCTCAACGGATATTTTAAGCCATTTTAAAATGCATTTTAAGTGGAATTTTTCAAAAGTGACGCCATTCTCATGGACATCAGAAAACAAAAATGATGGGACATACAATAGGAACCCCATATCCACAGGATCGGTATCCATTGATCCCCTCGTCTGAAATTTTGAAAACATTAAAAGAAAATTCCTAGAATTATGTATTTCTGAAGATGAAGTTACCAGAACAGGCCACTAGAAGGCGCTACAGACCATGCTATGTAGTGTGTTCCTATTGAAATAATTTTCATTATAATCCACATTTTCAGCATCCTCGGTAGAGGGGCTTAGAACTGATCCTTTATAGATACAGAGGTCCTAACGTAACAACAACAAAAGAGATAGGAATAAGTTACTTTGAAATAGTGGTGCCCTGCTAGATGCTTACCCCGCATGACGTCAAAATCGCTTGACGATGACTTTTCCCCATTGGAACGCATTAACCGGTTTTCAATGCATTCCAGTGGTTTTTTTCCCCCGCATGACGATGATTTCGCTGTACAGCGATTTTCCTGAAACAGATTATCGTCATCATGCGGGGCACCACTGTATGCCAAAGGGTTTCCTTTTTCCCCTTCCTACTTCTTCCCCCTCATGTTTTCCTTTTCTCACTACAGGCCGGGTGCGAGGATTTTTACGCTCTGGGGACGTGGTCATTGTGGTGACCGGCTGGAGGCCTGGTGCCGGCTACACCAACATCATGAGGGTCCAGCAGGTTCCATGAAGAAGGCGAGGAAGCCTCTGGGATCCAAGAGGGAGGGGACTCTGGCTCCCCCCCCCGGGATTTTGTGGCTGAAAGTGGGGAACCCCCCAGGTAACAACAGTCCCCACACTTATACCCAAGCTTGTGCATTGACTGCTTCGGACATATGGCCGACCGGTTTAGTCCATCTGCTCTATTTTTGTATCACTCCTCACCACCTTTTTTTCTCCATGGGTTGAAAATGCATGGATGTCTTTTGTAATCATCTTTGATTAAAC